TGGTTGTCTTCTTTATCTTAAATCCTACCTAAAGCACTCTCCCTATTACTTGGATGTTTCCTCATTCACGGGAAACTTCTGCTTTGCATCTGTTATTCTCTCGCCGCAAAGAAAGGCAATCATTGGCTGTATCTACAATCCCTTAAATTCTTTAGCCAGTGATGATTCTCAACTCTGTGAAATCTTTAAATTAATTTCGGAAGTTGCTTTCGATGTTAAAATAATCACTGGGGATTTTAACCTTCCTGAAATTGACTGCGTTTCCAATAGCTGCCCACCCAGATTCCAGTCCTTTCAGGATATTATCAATTTTTCTAATTGGTCCCAACTGGTGCGCTCTCCAACAAGAGATAATCACATTTTAGATCTAATCTTTACCAATGACATTGCTCCTCTTTCTGTTGCTTTAAAAAAGGACCTCTTTGACAGTGACCACGTATTAATTTATTGTTGCCTACCGCTTGCCTTTTCAAAAAAGACAAGCGCCGTTCAGACTTTCATGAACTACGACTGCGTAGAGAGCGACTTAATAAATAACTATATGAGATCCTTGGATTGGTGTGGCTTCCTCACTTGTAGCAATGTAACCATTCTTCGTGATGTCATGTCCAGTGTTTCCAAGGACATTCTAGAGTTTGTGCCACGTTGATATCTCAAGCCTAATTCTTCAGATTCTCTTGTTCCTCATTTTCTTCAGAACAGACTAAAAAAGTTGAGGCGACAACTGCGTGACCCATCCACTAGTTCCTTATCTGTTCATCTTAGAATCACAGAGATATTTGAGACGGCCTCAAGGATGCGCCTAGCGCGCGACAGGCAAAGAGAATCAATTGCTCTCAGTTGTTCGAACCCTGGCAAATCCGTCGCTAACATCTTCCGTCATCGGTCCTCCTCTAAGCGTGGTCATGAACTTCCACCCATGCTAAATGATAACAAAGTCTTCCTCACCGATGACACTGACAAGGCGGAGTTGTTTAGGGCTCTCTTTGCAAAACACCTTGCTACCGAGTCCGATCCGGTCCCTTTCTTTCGATCACTTTCAGATAGGACACTTAGTACAATTGAAGTCTCCTCAGATCTCATTAAGAAACACATAAGCCGTTTGAAATACTCACACTGCTCAGGAACGGACGGGATTCCGAATTCGATTATTAAACAAGCGTCCGACCTTCCCATATTGCTCAGTCATTTATTCTCGGTTTATATTTCGAAAAGGATTCTTTCCTGAAACATGGAAAACGTCAATTATCATTCCCGTTTTCAAGTCAGGGTCTCGGTCCGATGTTAATAATTATCGGGGCGTGCACAAAACGCCGTCTCTAGCAAAACTTCTTGAAAGGATTATTTTCAATGAAATTCTTGACTTCTGTCTAGCTAATCGGCTTCTGAGCTCTATTCAGCATGGGTTTTTACCTGAACGATCCTGCGAAACATGCCACTTGGCTTTTCTTAATCTAATCACTTCTCTTCGTAATGAGCGGCAGTCAGTGGTTGTTATTTACTTTGATCTTAGCAAAGCCTTTGACAAGGTGCCCCATAGACGTCTTTTAGTAAAATTGGCAGCTCTCGGCATCCGGCCGCCTCTACTCGACTTCATCAACTCCTATCTGTCCAACCGATATCAGAAAGTCATGGGCGGTAATAGCTACTCGACACCCCACTCGATCACGAGTGGCGTACTTCAAGGAACGGTTCTGGGTCCGCTACTCTTTCTTCTGTATATCAATGATATTTCGACTGAACTCGGAAATCCGCAAACTTTTACTTATGCCGATGACCTCAAGTGTGTTTACTCATACTCTAAGGACACCGCAAATGTTTGTGTTGAAAAAATAAATGCCGATTTACTACGCTTAAGCAGATGGGGTTCGACATGGCAGATGGAGTTTTCACCATCCAAGTGTAGTTTCATGTCTTTTGGTCCTACCAAACTTCCTGGTCCCATAATTTTTCAGAATAACCCACTGTCAGTATGCCTCACCATAAAGGACCTAGGTCTAAGTTATACAAATAAACTTGCTTTATCACCTCATGCAGATAGAATCTCTGCCAAAGCCGCGCAGATATGTGGATTCATATCGCATAATTTTTTCCTTCCGGAAATGAAGCTAAGACTTTATCAAATGTTTGTTCTTCCAGTCCTCGAATATTGCTGTCCTTTCTTCGGTTTAATGAACGCCTGCGACCGTAATAAAATCGAAAATGTTCAGAGGGTTTTCACCCGGAAACTGTTCTCTCAAGCTTCATCCAGTATTTTTTATACTCAGAGATGTCAGCTAACGAACATTAAGTTTTTGTGGGTTAGAAGACTCGAAGCTGGCCTTTGCTTCCTTTTTCGCATCAACTCTAGCTCCAGTCTTCCGCAAATTGACACTCTCACTCCGAGAGATCGGTCTTATGCCACGCGCAACTCCTGCATGGTGATTCCGCCGCCTCTTTGTACTACATCTAAGCGCTCCCTCTTTTTTGCTTCCAAATATGCCTTCCTTTGGAATAATCTTCCGCCTGAAATTAGATTATCGCCTAAGTTACTAGTATTCAAGTCGAAATTGCGCAAACATCTTACACCGGAAAGCATAAAGGCACTGTTAACGGTCTCATTCCCGAACACTCAGATTCTTGATTTTGAGAAGGGTCCTCCTGGGATTTAGTGGTAGATCAAGTGGTAACTCTTAATTATATCATTAGAAACCCCTGTTTTGAATTGGTTTCTAAATCCATTGCTATCCTTCCCCCCATAGCGGCAATTTTCGCGGTTTTTGATGTCATCTCCCGCATTCCGACCTCATGCGGTATGTCGACGCTCACGGCGGAACCCTCAGTATTCACTGTCTACTAGTAGTTCGGTCGTAACTCCCTTCCTCACTGCTCGGCTGAGCTCGAAGCGTGCTGTGGCCGATCGCATCTGGGTTCCTCTCTTCTGGCCTCTTTGACGCGGCGTACCAATCAGGCCCAGACGATCTCAATTGTGAATCCCGTATACAATGCCATTTGCAAGCCACTCCTGTCTGACCCACATTCGCACCCATCAAGGCTGACATTTATTGCTACCCTGACGATGACCGACAACATTCCGTTATATACCGCCACCTACAGGCCAGTCCTGCTCGCTTTTTTCTCTTATTATTTTTATGGAGGGGTTTTTTTTCTCCTGTAAAATTAATCCAATCATTTTTAACTTTTTTAAGGAGTTTTTTTCACCCCTCAATCATCATGTTTCTCAATGGAATTCTAATTTAGAAACTAGGAATTGCATTTTGTAAAGATTCGGCCTACCTCGTCTAAAACTCGCATGCAAATTTATTTTAACTTGCTTTGATGGGACCCCGACGGGTCTGTAATAAAAATTATCTATCTAACTGCACCGCATGCCGCATAAGATCCCGAAAACTGGTCAGACAATGTACCCGTTGCACTTCTTGGCATTCGTGCGGCACTGAAGTCAGACTTGGACTGCAGCGCAGCCGAATTGGTTTTCGGCACTACCCTCCGACTCCCTGGCGAGATGGTCACCCCAACCTCTCGTGGTGCCGAAAAGTCCCCCGAAAATTTTGTGCATCGTCTGCGATAATTCATGTGATCGCTTTCCCCGGTTCCACCTCGAGCTCCATCGACCGAGCCTTATGTTGAAAAGGGCTTAGCCAACTGCACCCATGTGTTCGTTCGGTGTGATCGTATGCGGGAGCCGTTAGAATCACCAAACGAAGGACCGTTCCGTTTGCTTACACGTAACAGCAAGACCTTTCGGATCTTGCGAGGTGACAAAGAGGACGTAGTCAGCATCGACCGGGTCAAGGCTGCTGTTGCAGAGGAGCCCCCGGACGTGTCTCAAGGACAAGCATGTGCCGACCCCATACCTCCTCCCACTGCTTTTCCACTTTCCCCACCTATCCCTCCGTTCAGTATACTTCCTCTTCCTTCTTGTTCGCAGCATCAAACTGCAACCTCTTCCTCCACCCATAACTTGTCTTCTACAACACCGACTCAGCGGCCTCCAACAGTGCCTCCCGCATATATCACCCGCAGTGGACGTCACGTTCACTTTCCCGATCGTCCAATTACTCATTTCTCCTAGACCTTTGTATGTCCTCCGGTGTCGTTCAAGCCACCCTCCGGTCTCGAGGGGGGGGGGGTACTGTGCTGAAGTACTTGACTACTTGACCTTTGACAATCTTGTCACGTTTGTTTTACTGTGGCATTTGTTTTAACGTGACGAGGACTCCGCCGCTTGTAAGCTTCGCGCCGCTTGCGTGCTCTCTGGTCAAGTCGTTGCACATTTTGAATACTAACTTTATTCCCTTACTGGCCTTCCTTACCTCTCTCCGTTTATGAGGTTAGTAAGCCGTAGTTCGTTAGTTCGCGGGAACGACATAACTTAGTCATGCATTCTCTGCAAAGTTATGAAAAGGATTATAAAGGGTGAACTGATGCATTTCCTCGAAGTTCACGGCCTGCTATCGAAATGCCAACATGGGTTCCGGAAAGGAGGATCCTGCACGACAAACACGTTTCAAACTATCCAGAGCTGGACTCGAGCTCTCGACGACAGGCACGCTGTCCATATACCATTCATCGACTTCCAGAGGGCGTTCGACACTGTGTCACACCAGAAGCTCTTACATAAACTCAAAGAACAGGGATAAGTGGCAGCTTCCTTAAATGGATCGAAAACTTCCTTTTGGGTCGACACCAGGTTATGTGCATCGGTCGGGGGAAATCAGATAGTGCTATGGTCAGGAGTGGTTTCCCCCAGGGTTCAGTACTGGGGCCCAATTTTGTTCCTTATATGCGTGGACGATGCCGCAAGAGCTTTAGACAGCGAAGTAGCAGTGCTTGCCGCCGAAATGAAGATATGGAGTGTAATTCGCGGTCCTGCCGACGAATACAGACTGCAGGTGAACCTAAATCAATTGGAGGAGTGGTCAAACCGTTGGCTCCTGCGGTTCAACGTTGGCAAATGCAACATACTTCGCCTAGGCAACGCAGCCAGATGCAGCAGCACAAGAGACTACTTTCTGGGTGGTGCAGCCTTAAAAGAGGTCAAAGCCCAAAGGGACCTCGGTGTGCTGACGACCAGTTCCCTAAAGCCATCCGCGCATTGTTCAAGAGTGGCAAAAAGCGCAATGTCCGTATTGTACGCCATAAAGCGTGCGTTTATGGACTTTGACGAAGATGCTTTCTCTAAAACATTCAGAACATTCGTCCGGCCGCATTTGGAGTACGGCATACAGGCCTGGAGGCCGTGGGCGGTTGGGAATCAAAACTGCCTCGAAAGAGTTCAGAGGAGAGCCACGAAGATGGTTAGGGGTGAAAGCACCTTTCCTTATGCAACCCACCTAGTAAATCTGAACCTCTTTCCTTTGAGTTACAGGCAACTTCGTGGGAATCTCTTGCAAGCCTTCCACATTGTGAAGGGGTTGGATGGCAGTCTGGCCTTCGAGGACTTTTTGAATTGGCTATCACGACCAACCTCCGAGGTCACCCGTTAAAACTGCGCACTCAAAAGGCAAGGCTGGATGTGCGGAAGTTCTCCTTCTCTGTTCGAGTGGTCAAACCGTGGAATGCCCTTCCCGCAGATGCTGTGATGTCACCATCTATACAAAGTTTTAAAAAGAATCTTGACAGATTTATGTTCCGAAATGACCAAGAACGATGAGAAGTAGAGCTCACCCTCTGTAACTCGTTCTCATTTTGTCCCACCATTATGGACGTGTTTGAACTATTTCAGCCCAGAACATTTATCTGTATACCACACATTTTTAACGTTGAAAATAGGGTACTAAAAGGCTTACGCCTATTTCCCCCAGTAAACTGAACTGAACTGAACATATGCCCCGAATGTTATGTGCTGGTAGAATAGGTTTTCTGCCGCTATCTTCAACAGTCGGTAGCCGAATGTGGCTGAGGGAACCAAAGCACGCCACTTCAGACGGCTAACCTTAGGAACGTCAATGCGTCTAATAATAAGGACATCATCATTTTAGGTTTTGCTCGGTTCAGGGGAAACACCACCCTTGGCAATTTGTTTCGCAGGGGGCATGCATTCCTGGTAGAGGCCGGGCGTCCCTATCAGAACTAGTTTTAGGGAAGAATTTCACCTCCTGCGTCATGCGGCTTTCCTAACTGACCACAGTTAAGCTGTGGTAGGCATCGGAGACAACCACCCTTCATCACTGTTTACGGTCTCAGCTGGATTACCTGCACCCTCTTCTGGACGGTTCATATTGTTCACTAGTTTTAAATGGCCGCGGTTTCGTCAAGGCAGCAATATCTAGTGCGTGCTCCTGGATCTCTGATGCGTTCGGCTGACCGAGATTGGGACAGAAAATGCGAACCTGGACGACATTAGAAAACAAAGACAGTGGGTCCACCCGGAAGGAGCAACGAAGAGGGACAAAACCGGCGGGCACTATTAGCAATCTTGTATCTAATAATTATAATAACTGTATTTAATGCCATTTTACAGGCATTATTAAAGGAATGTAAAGCACAGATAGGGCTAACAGTAAAAAAGACACCTAAGGAAGCAAATACAAGTGGTGACGTTTTTGAATTGTTTGGATGGTTTGGAAGAAAAACTGCTGCTCATGAAATAAGGTTAGTCAGGAAAAGGAATGACTAACATTGCATCGGGTGTTTTCAGTCTATTCCTTTTTGATAGAATTGGGACTGCAACAAACAAAGTGCGTGGGAGAACAATTGCTCACTGTCAACTAAAGTAATTGTTCCTGGTGTTGCCGGGTGTATAATCAGCACCAATTCTCGCAGGATGATACAGTGGAGAGGGATCAGAGTCCACAACCTTCATCACTACGAAAACTTTAATAAGTGGATCCAGCACCCAAAATTGTGGGCGTTTTCTGAATGCAAAGAAGGGTAATGGCCCGCCTAGACAAAGAATACTTTCTCAGAATTTTTAAATTCCTGAGCAACTTGTCTCAGACTGGTCGGAACTGAATTCCCCCCTCCCCTTAAAAACAGGAAGATAAGGTGCGACCTACCACGGAAATTCCGTATAATCCGAGAGCACAGCTCTTCGATTATACCTGAAGACTTCTTTGAGATTATAGGCTAAAGGCCATTTTCAAATAACTTTCTTGGGGAGGAGGAAAGAAACTTCCTCATGTCCAGCCTGGTAGCTGTCGCATGCAGCTTGAACGGATGTGGACAAATTCCCTGAAATTCACAACCGCATCCTCTGCTGTGCAGCAATAGACCTCGACGACTATAGGGAACGCAATTTGCACGCGCACAATGCTGGACATGCCTACAATATCATAAATATAAATTTAAACGTGACCGTGCCAATTTTCTAAGCGATTTGGTCCCCAACATATGACGTCAAAATTAACTTGAATCAGTCTTACCGAAGTCGACTTGTCAGCCGTGGTTGGCGTCTTTTTTGCATCGTACAGATTATGGCTCTTGCTTTATTGCATTTTTTATCCTCCAATAGGTCCTTATCTGATTTTTCCTGACCTTTTGCCATAGTAGACTCTTCATTTCCATCTGAGAGAACCCCGTCGTGATTTCATCTGTTTCTTAGTTAAATCTACACGTTAACTCCTCCTACAAATCTCTGTTAGGCGCCCATTAATTTTCGGCTCCGTTTTTCCATAACCTGAATAATTAACAAAAATTTTCTTCACGGGACAATTCCGGTTGCTTCCGGCGCTGGAAGTGGTGATTTCGATTACTCATTCCCTCAGTGCGACTTATGAGCGAGTTGTTACGCCTTAGAAGCTTGTTGAATGATGCGGACTTGAATGCGCGAAACTCGTAGGACCGTTAAAGGCTAAATATGAACACGGAATTGACAACTCAAGTTGTGCTTTTCAGTCAGGTGATAACCACATCTCTAGCAGACACAAGGAAACTTAAAAGCAATGCAAACCGTCAGTCAACTGTCATGTAAAAGATGCCTAAGCACTCTCTGGCCCAGATAGCTAGTCAACAGGCGTTGTCTAGGCACGAAACGGTTGGGTCCATCCCATTTCGTCATGACTGACAAAAGAAGCGAAGTATGGGCAACATCAACCGTTTTACACTCCATATTAGCGACTGCGATGCACGATTCAAGTCCAGTGTCCATGTACACAACACTAAGTTAGGGAGATATATGCACAGTGTCTCCACCTTATTAAAGCGGTTAGTCGACGTTAAAATCTGAAATTCCCCGACAAAACTCACACTCGTCGATATTCTATCCGGGAGTTGCGTTTCGAATGTCATTAAGGGGTACAACCAAGTCTATCCCGTGTATTTGTTTTAGTGAGCTTAATCATTTGCCCCTATTACGAGGTTCGCGCATCGAAGGTCGTTCCGGTGTCATCAAAGTTGCCTTTGCAAATCGCAGTGAAGTTATTGGCCAATGGGTGAAGTGGTTGGTGTGGATGCGCTGTACAGATGCTTTGACGTCATATCCAGTGACTCTACGGATGAACCCAAAGTTTGTTTTCTTCTATCATGGGCCAATTTCATAGAAACTAGAGGCGTTCACTACGATCCTTAGTGGGACTAAAGGAGGAGATAAGGAAAAAAGACTGTCGTCTCAGTTCATCGGCCGTTTTTTCAAGCGTTTTAAGGATTTGGAGGAAGATAGCTTTAACTGTCTGCTAGATCTTTGTGATGACCCAGACGTTGCGATACGAAAGCAAGCCGTACAAGATTTACAGTCAATATGCAAGCACGAACCGGCCTTTACTTCCCGGGTAGCCGACGTCCTTGTGCAGATGCTGGCTACGGATGACCATTCTGTACGTCTTTGTTCGTAACAAATTGTCTAACTGTTCTAGGAATCTCATATAGTTGCACTTGCACTCTCCAGCTTGTTATTGGCTGACCCCAGGAGCACATTAACAGGGATTTTCAACCAAATGCTTGCAGATAACTCTGGCTCACCCAGAGACCATGTTCTCAGATTTTTGGCCGAATCTCTAAAGCGCCTTCCTAAAGAAACATTGGACGATCAGTTGGAGGAGTTTATCCTAGAACAGACCAATAAGGTTCTGCTCGATGTCTCAGAGAATGAATTTATCTTGCTCATAACAGTACTTTCATCGCTCAAATGCATGTCTACAGTTCCCGGGCGCCAGAAACTCGTAAATATGATAACGACTCAAGTAGTGCAGGCGGTACCATCGTTTGATCCGCAAGATGCTTCTTGTCTCGCACAGGTTCGTGAAAGTGGCAGACAGGCAGTGCGGTTCTTATCGGTAACCATTTGAGTTTTTACGTTTCATGTTTCAGAAAAACGTAACTGCCGGTGCCTTCTTAAAGTACACTCTTGAAAAAGTTATACCTTTCTTCGAACCCATCAGTAGCGATCTTGATCGACGTGGCATTCTCCGTGTATTAACAGAGTTTTCTATGCACCCAGGCGATGCCCTTTTGTCGTGTTCCGAGACCGAGAAGGCTCAGATTTTATGTCCCTTGTATGCTTTACTACTGAACTCTTTGCCAAACATTCCAGAGGATCCACTGCTTGCTCTTGCACCAGCTGTTGAATCGGATGCCGAATCTGGACAGTGTCAGTCGACCCAGAATTTAATCCCTGACCAAGTGTCTAGCTTGAATATGCTCGAAATCGAATGTCTACTTTTCTCCATTGTTAATCTATCGAGGCTACTGCCAAATTTTCTGGACTTCACTGAGCCCTCAGGCGGAGATTCTACGAGCAATTCTGAAGCTGCCAGCCGTGTACGATGTTTGCGGCCGAAGTTGCAGTATTTAGCTCGTCTCATACAGTTGTACCGTCGGAATATATTATCCTCCACAGAAGAACTGCTGAAGATGGAAGAAATTCCTCATGAATCGGCATCTGATGAAGCAAAACAGGTAACTCTGATTTTTACCTATTGACAACAGGTATGTGGTTTCATTAGGCGTAAAGTTCGATGTCGTAGCCAGGCCTCATTTGTCGCGAAAATTCCTTTAAAAGTTGTCAAACAAGTTGTAAAGTTGTCAATAGGTCGCTGTCTTCGAGGTTAATAACTTAATGAAATTTACTAATTTCCGCCTATCTTTCGTCGTAGTATGATAAATAAACTTCACCATCTTTATTTAGGTGATGATTCGTAGTTTGGTATGTGGCCACACAAAATTTTATTCCTGTCTCGAAGTACGTTCGGGCCACTAGTTTTATCCCTAGAGCCTCGGAGAGCTGTATAGCTGGCACCTTTTGAGTCGTAAACTTTTTCTGCATGTAACCAATAGGGATTTCACAGGTACACACCTACTTTCCCTGAAATATACTGATACTGACAATTACCTGATTCGTCATATTTGGACTACATGCACGTATAATTCACTAGATTGTTACTTTCGAAAGTAGGATAAAGTTTCATTTTCGTGCGTTTGTGGAAAAAACTTGCCTGGAATATTCCTCGTTACAACTGTTCCCCAGCGTGGTGTGGGGCTCACAAGTGCTTTGCGTATCTGAATTTTAATACTTTTGTGGATATTGTGTTGAGCCGATTTCGTGGTCATTTCCGCAATAAGTTCGATCCAACATCATAGGATTCTCTCACCGTTTTCCTTTGCAAGCTATGTTGACAGAAATACTGAGGCGGTATCGGAATTCTGAATATCATGGTATCAAAACAAATCCGGTCATCTCCTGTGCTGCTAGGATCAGGCATTTAGTTGCCGTATTTCCAGATAAGCTTTGCTAATCGAACGGTATACGTCCGTAATCTGGCCTCGGTTAACAGCCGCTGTAACTGCCACACATTAATTCGTCCAGAATCGGCACAGGTTACCAATGTTTTGCTTGCTATGTTTGACGATCATCACCCCTACTCGGGAGAAATTGTAAATTGCTTGTTTATTGAACTTCTGTGAGGACACACGGGATCAGCCTTACCCCATCTTTACATCGCCAAGCCTGAGCCTAAATAAATAGAAATGGGTCTAAGCGCAGTAACTGGCCGGTAGCTATCAGTGTTAAAAGCGGCCAGATCATGCACATCTGTTTCACTGAACCAGGTCCGCAATTCAAACAATTGTACGGACATGAGTGTGCAATTCATGAAAGTCTAACGCAAGAACTGTTGCCTTTTCCACACAGATGCCTAGCTTAGAAGATTTTACCAGAATATATCGGACTGAAACCTCCCATAATTTCTATCGTGAGATATTGGCGTACACCCTGTTGCGTTCAAAACATGCGCGGAGCGTTCACGGCTGGTGGCCAATACTTACTTTTGAAGTTCCGGCTCTTCAAAGAGCAGCACACGGCATTCTGCTGACATCACCTCCCGTCATCCCCACTTGGATAAAAACGAGGCCATCATCTGCGTCGCAGGTCGTCTATCTGTCCTCGAAAACCCTTATAATATCATAAGAGAATGCGCCTTCCAGGGGATGACATAGTCTTTTCAATTTGTACTACCAAGACTTCCTCGCAATGTTAGAGGGCGTTCACCGAACGTTGTTACGGAACTCACTCGTCCCTTTGTGCCTTAGGGCTCTCTCGAGCCTAACCAGCAGCCGCACAGCGGCGCATGATATAGGCAGAATAGCATTACCCACTCAACTGATGTTGGTAGTTTTGTGCTTCCAACATAAGCAAAAGCGATCTGCGCAGTTGTTGACTGAAGTGTATTATCTCCTTAAATCCCCCAGGATATTTTTTTTCGCTGACGCCGGGAATCACAGTTCCCTAAATGCGTCTTTCCGCTTTTCGTTTTATCACTCAGTAAAACTACACTCAACATATTACATTGACCAGTTTTTTTCTTGAGGGTTAGCTTTACCTTATTATTTCACGAGTGGTCGCTGCCTGACCAGTCAGTTTACTGTATCAGAATTGGCGGATCCCATATGTCGCAGTAGGTTGGGCGGGCAGCTTCATCCAGGTGTGTTAAAGTCGAGGATCTCGGTCGGACTTCGTAGCTCACTTGGTTAGAACGTTGGCTGTTCTAAAGTGTCAACCTTTCCGTCGTGGGTTCAAATCTCGCCGGGGTCGCCAATTTTTTCACAACTGGGTAGCCAATTAAAATATACTAAGCTGAGGTCAAGAGGGGGGTCTGATTTTCCTTTAGGCTTCCGAGCGCGACCAGGGTTATTGGACCGAATGTCAGGCAGTACTTAGTCATGTGCTGTGAGATAACGTAAGCAATAAGTCTCACAAATGTCCCAGTAGTGTTGAAAAGCAGATAGCTCCGTCTTTTGCAGATTGTAAAGCTCAGAATGATGGCGTCCTTTAAAGCTCAGGTTATGTGTCCTTGCCTTAGCCTCTCCTTATTAAGAGAGGTCAACTTCTACATAATTTTAAGACTGTCGTATCAGTAGACTTTCGTTGGACTCGATTTCGTGCCTGGAGATTTTTCCTTAGAGAGTGGCTTGACTGTCTTAGGTGACTCCTACAGGGTGGGTGACAGATAAAAGCAACTTCTGGTTCCAATTCCAGGAAGTCGGCTAATTGATAAAAAACAGTGGACGCGCGAATTGCACACCAGTTGGGTAACTTTGTTGCGATAGAAAATAGGCGTGTTTGGAGGGTGTCAACTCCTGGCTGCGGCACACAGTTACTCGAATGACGCATAATGAAGATTACTATGAGGAAAGTGGGGTACCGGAAATGCTGTTCTTCGACGGGGATTGTCACACGTATTTTGTCGTCCAGAGAACCGACACGGAGATCTGGTATTGACAGGCAAGAGGATCTTCCGTCGTTACCGTCCTCAATGCTGAACTTAGAACTTCGGAGGGCAGTTCAACTTGCCATACTATTTCTTACTATGTGTCAGTTTTAGATGACAACCTCCGTAAGTCTTCTGCAGTGTCCCACAAAACCGGTCATATTAATAAAAGAAGTAGACCATTTAATCTTTAGTAGACGGCTTCTAGCGGACCGGGTTCCAGCCAGTATTAATGGAACCGCCCGCCGGAAACGCTGTTGGGCAAGAAGCTCTTCCAAAGCCAGTGGGAAATTTCCCTCCTATCTCAGTAAACCAACCCTACTTGTTTCCTTTCATGGCAGTGGGCGATTCGCCGTTCGGATACAGGGAAAATTTTGTGATTAGGAAGAATTTCAGTTGTTCCACGACAAGCTACGGTTTTACACGTAAACACGCTCATTCGATCTCGTTGAAAAAAATCACTTTGGATATCAATGCATTTGGAGTAAGATATCCATTCCGCCAGTCATCGATTTTATCACCTGGTCCTAGTTTGTTTCCTCGAAAAGAACTCTTGAGTTCTTCAAAGCTGTGTCTTGCCGCCCTCTGGTATCTATGCGGTTGGTGCCTCAAAAACGGCTCCGCCTTCTTGCAGTTTCTTTCCCTAGAGCATGTAGATTTGAGGACGTGCTAGTCCACTTAATTACTTATCTTATTTTTCAGACATTGTCGAATGTAGAGGCCCTAGTGCGCCTGTTCTTCCGAAATCGACCGACTCTGGACATCTCGACCATGGTGCCATCGTGGAAGAAAATACCAGGGGCAGTTAAGCCGGGCGAAAAACGGCTCCCCGTATCGTCCGCTAACCAATCCACGGAGACTGGGAAGACCGGTCGCATTGAACACACCTATCGGATGCCGGCCGGCAGATGGTCCGGTGGACAGAGTGGCGCGAGAGGGGGCTTTCGGGGACGCCGCTTTTCCGGAAATAATCGACCCGGCCGCGGTCGTATGTACTAACTCCCTTTGGGATCGTGTATCTGTTTTGTATCCTTTCACAGCCTCTGTTTTATCCACTTGACACGCCCCACCCGCACCGGAGGTAGTCACTTGTACAGCACTAACTCCGCGCCGTCGATGTGGGTGTTAAACTTTTCCGACCGACCGCCTGTAGTTTGCTTACTTTGTTGGATAAAGTATACTGCGATTTCCTGTGCGCTAATACCTGTTTGTTATATTTGCATATGGGAATGGTGTGACACGAACGTCTAAAAAACATTCGGTGGAGAAGGGAGAAAGAGGATCTTTCAAAAACAGACGCAAACTACTTTGTGCAAAATGTCCCTTGTGGCTGATTTTGGGAAGGCATTCTAAAAGCATGCGACTTGTCCTATACGCATGAGATTCCTGGCAGTTCCGCCCTTATGACCGATAAGTGTTTGCCGGGGAGCAATTGACAACACACATTTGGGTGCGGCACGACTTGCATCCTATTGTTGTTAAAAAAAGTGCACTGACAGATAGTTTATGTCGCAAGTGACGCAGACCACAGTGAAAGTTCGATTGTTGCAAACGACGACGTCCCCAGTATGCCCCACGGAATGGGCGCAGCACTGGTGACATGCCCGTGAATTGATTTATAATGAGGGCTGATTGCGCAGCACCTCCCTCACTCTCGCCCCACTCACTAGGCTCCGATGGCACGCCAATGTCTAGACGACCGGAAGTTGGCGCGGACGCAGTGGCTGACAAAGCTAAACAGTTCGGTTACGCGTGCTTCACACGACCCGACTCTCGCACAATATGCCAGGTCTCGCAGGACAGAGGACGGCTCGGATCTCACGTTCGTGAGTGCCATTGAGGGCACATTAAGAAGAAGTCACTGGGTCTGACTCCCGGTCGTCGAGCCAGTCCGGTACTGACCAAATGGACCAGATTATCCAGTCAGCTGGCAGCCCTCCACTCCCCGACTTTTAGCGCGTCGTGATAGTTTAAAGGTATTATGACCTGGCCTGGTACTCGCTAACGACACGAACTGGATGCGTACTCGACTGTTGTCCGGACCAACAACACATCAGCGAGGACAAAACACGTTCGACCACGACGAAGATATGTTACTCTACAAATCGTTCTACTGGAGAAATGGCGCGTACTTATAGCATCCGGAACTCTGCCCAATTCGAATCGAGAAGAAAGTTCTAGAGGAGCCGAGGAATTTATCCAGACACGGACCAATCAGGTTCTACGACGGGAGCAGCCAATGGCGGAGCGCTGTCAATATGCTAACGGCCCACTGGCAGCGTGCTAACAGCATGGTAGAGAATGCGCGCACGTGATTTCCAGTGAGAGTGAGTGGCCCTTTTGAGGAATGTAGGCAATGTCAACAAAAAGCGCGTCAGGTTTACTATCGCGAGAAATGCGCTTATCAACGGCGCAATAATGGCTTGCACAAAAGTTGAACTTCCGCAGCATCTGCCTCCATCTTCCTTCCCAAATCCACCATGTTCAAATGGCAATACAAAGACGTCTGGCGTCTAATCTCAGCGAGTGGCTGACTATACCAGATTCACGTCTACGCTCGTTGCATACGTTCTTTTCCCCACCTCATTCTAAGGCGCCTCTTATTGGAGATGCGGGCGCGGTTCGTCGGACGAACTGCCTGCTCCTACTCGCGAACAAAGCAGACTGCAAGGAAGGGTCTCATATCGCCAGCGGAGAGTTACCATAACACGGGTTGCCCGTTAGCCTAGCTGTTGGTTACCCGGCCCGTTCACAGGTGGCGGATAATGGGACGGCTTTCAGTGAAGGTTCGCTGCGAAATAAGCAGACCCAGGTCTGACGAATAAGCAGTAGCGGACCAGCAGCGACAGAGCTACCAGGGTGCAGAGGACGGAGGTCTGGCACGTTGAAAGCCTTATAAAAAGCCGAAAAACCCAATGACGGTATTGTGACATGGCGACCGTAAACCGCCATTAAATAAGTCTCCTTGTCACCGCTGCCTTGTGGTAAGGCTTTTAAGCCAAAGCGCTAGAGGAGACAACCTCGGACAACCAATCCGAGCGGTTGTTGAGTACCTGCCTGTACTCAAAATTCCCAAGAAATCTCATGGAATATGTCCGACTATAGTATTACGACCCATGCTACGGCGTTTAGGGGAAACGACGTGCTCCGCAACCCTGGTCCAGGGTTTGGGCGAATAGTATGCGAGCTGGACTACTTAATCGGAGGCGGACTCTTGGTATTGAATGCTGAAATGTGCGAACGTTCCTGGACCCCTGTACCCAAAGTCTGACCGCGCGCAGCCGTAATCAGTACAACGTGGATGTCTACAGTCTGTCTGAAGTTCGACCTCCTGACTCCAGGCTCTCGAGAAATAAAGATCCCTGGAGTCGAATCACAATTCACCCTTAACCGCAGCGGCCCGCGCGACTCTTCTGGTAGACACGGTGTGGCTATCTCCCTCTCGCAACAAGCGAACCTTGCTTTACTCGTTTAGAAACCAGTAAATGACCGGATGGCCTACGTGCGACTGAAGGGTCACTTCGCAAATATTTTCATCGCCTCTCTGTGCGCACCAAATTCAGCTGCCGAACAGCGCGACAAAGAGCCGCTTTACTCGCAGTTGCAACTGTTAGTTGAAAGATTCCTTCGCGCGATTTGCTGACTGTTGCCGGGATTTGGAATGTTTTAACTGAACCTGGCGACTCCACAAACAGTCATCTTGGCCGCTTTGGGCTTGGTTTCCGATGTGAAAATGGTGAGAGATTACTGGACCTCGCTGATTAGAACCGACTGCTTGTCACCAACACGTGTTTCCAACATTGCAAAAAACATCTGCTGACTTGGTATTCAAACGGCGGTCATACGGCCAGTCAGACTGAATACATACTAGTCAGCTCAAGGTTCCACAGCTGGGTTCACGATAGCAGATCGAAGCTTGGTACCTAAACTGGTAACGCCCATAGGTCGGACCATGTTCTTCGTACACGCTTGAAAGTCCATCTCTCATCTGCGCCAAAAGTGCCACGTCCTATACGCCTCGATATCGCAAAAATCCGACAAACCAGCACTGTCGATGTCCTAAGCAGAAAAATCCGGTCCTGTTTTACGACTCGAGCCAACGGAGAAGGCGGTAACTAGTGGTCGTCACTGAAAAAACCAGTCTATGAGGCAACTGAGGAAATCCTTGGATATACCCAGCGACGCTGCAGTGACTGGATCAACGGAAGAACCCTGTAGTTGTCTGCTCAGACCGCTCCAGCCAGGTCCCGTAATGACTATTCTTTCCGCCAACTCCAGAAGATTACGGCAAAGTCGGCCAGGGATGACCGGAAGCAATATTGGGCTAAAATGGCGGCCTCCACAGAACAGACCTCGAACGTTGGTGACACTCCAAAACTCTACCAACTTGTCCGCCAAGTTAGTGGTAAGCCCTCTGCACTGACTGATTCTGAACGCGACATGAATGGTGGCTTTACTGCTGGCAACTCGGCCATGGTCGAGCGCTGGCGTGAGCGCTACGAGCACTGTTTAAACTTCGATGCCAAAACCCACCACGCCCTTTCCTCTACAGCGGGGTTTCTACCCTCCTCAACCTATTCATTGTCATGCATAAAAAGGCAACGTAACACCAAGACACCCCGAGAGACTGTATAGCCGCTGAAATCTACAAGTCTTGTGTCGACACACTAGCGCCCTGAGTCCTTGAGGTGATTGAACAAGCGTGGAGAGAAGAGGCTGTTTCTGGTGAATGGGGTTCAGGCCTCCTCGTACCTGCGTCACTGTGGCGGATAATGGCACTAGACGGTATATCGCCAGCAATCATCGCCATGATCAAAGCCTACTACCACTTGTAGCTTTTTACTTTCCTTATATATTAACTGCGAACTTGGAATAGATCAGTATGTGCAAGGTCTACAGGCTCAGACCAAAGTTTTTATGCATGCGTATTTGGGCCGAAGTTAATTTCTAAGAAAATTAAAAAGTTATAATTTGTAAATTAGAGTATCTAACAGACAGCAGACAGGGAATGCTGGGGGAGCCATTTACGAGCCGAAACCCTCGCAGCTGTGACATGCAGCGGCAGAATATCGGCGAAACACGTGTGTATGGGCTTTCGGCTAGTACCTGTATTGTTAGTATGGAATCAACTTACCCTGTTACCACTGCACGAGTTCTAGTTCATGAAAATCTTTTCCAAGCATCCGGCATTCGGGCTGATGTTCAAAAAGGTTTTATCCTGTCGCCCATCCTGTCCAACTACGCTACTGACTGGATTCTCGAGAAGGCCCCACACGAAGATGACAATGTTGAGTTTACATCCGGACACCGACTGACAAGTATCCACTATGTCGATGATACTGCCTTACTTACTTCAAGTTTTGCCGATCTGCAGCCTATGGTGTCACGGGTGAACGAGGTCGCTAAATCGGTCGGTTTACCCATAAACGCTGGGAAGATCAACGTGTTTTCTAGCCGCATCCCTGGCCAGGAGATGACACCTCGAGATTTATGGCTGTCAACGTGAAGAAGTAGACAGTCTTAATTACCTCGGGGCGAGGTTGCTGCCGAATGGACAGAGTAAGAACGAAATTGTCTGCCGAATTAATGCTGCTCGTCCAGCTACTTCAAGTCTTGAAAAATGCCTATGGATCCGACGCGACATCTCCATCGCCACTACTATTCGCGTGTACCGTGCATTTGTGCGGTTTGTCCTTCCCTATGGCTGTGAATGCTGGGCCGTATGCGTGGTGGACGAGCGGAAATTGGAGGCATTTGACCACCACTGTTTGAGCACCATCCATCGAGTGGAGTACACGGACTTCGTCTTAAATGAGACAGTCCGAACTCGCTGCGACAACATCGCAATGATAACCCAGGCCATCCAATAAGAACGATTGAGGTGGTTTGGGCTTGTTCTTCGTCGTCCACCTCAGGAGCTCAGTGTTAATGCCCTGGATCCGGCACTGTTACCCCATTGGGGGCATCGAAGAGGAGGTCAACTCAAGGCCTGGCTCGAG